ACAGAAGAGAAGGGAATACAGCGTGGCCATATTCCCAGGGGATGATTTCTCATTTTCTGTCTCGCGTGGCCATATTCCCAGGGGGTGATTTCTCATTTTCTGTCTCTTTGGCAAGTACATATGTCCTATAGCAAAAATTTCTCAATAAAAACACGATTGGCACATGTCATGAGTGTCCAAAATTTCAAATGGAGGTGAAGGGATTCTCTACAGAGGAATTTTCTCTTTTTTCTCTCTCTTTCTCTGTCTCTGTCCCTCTCTGATGAGCACTCATACCCTCTGGCAAATTAAAAATAAATAAATAAGTAAGATGATTAATCTTCTATGGATATCATCCTAAGAGACATGGGAAACAAATCTGCTAGAGCAGAATCAGCAAACTTTCTGGACTGGTTTAGATAATAAATATTTTTTTCTTAAAAAAATAAAAACTTTATTTAATTCATTCAAAATACATTAACAAAATAAAATTCAGTTGCAATACTATAATTTTGCAAAAGACTAAGTATTTTGCACACTAGTCAGACCTATTGTTTAGGTAAAGTGTTCTTTTATTTTTATCATAATTTTTCATATCACATTTACAGTGTATTATGTTTGTTTTTCCAGCACGATTCCTATGCATATCTGTCAGGATAAACATTACTCTCCACATTATCCTCATCAAATAGGTTTTCATCATTTTTTTCAGGTCATTATTATTATTATTTATTCTCATTTTTTTTAAATCATTCAATTATTATATATCATTTGGCTTGTAAAGAGAATTTACCCAACATGAAATACTTCTCAGACCAGTCCAGTTGAGAAGACTATATATATTTTCTTCAACAGGTAATAAACTATTTCTGTGTCCCACTAATATCATGCCTCTCTATTTGTTCTCTTGCTATCTTCTCTATGCTCTTCTCTTCTTCCCCTCGGTTCCACACTGTCTTCATCATTCATAACTATTTTCATTACTTTTATGTCCTTCGATATTTCTATCTCTACCAGCAAGTGCAGATACCCGGTATATATTAAGTGGATACATACAATATCTTTCTTTCATATTCTGGCTTGCTTCACTCAGCACCGATCTTCCATATTTGACCACTTTCTTTTTTAATTATTTAATTTTATTTATTATTATCATAATCTTTTTTATATTACATTGAATCATATATATCTTTACAGTGCATTACATTTCTTTTTCCAGCACGATGACCATGCATATCAGTCAAGACAAAGCTTTTCATGACTTTTTTCAGATTATTATTATTATTGTTCTCATTATATTTTTAAACAGTCAATTAGTATATATAATTTGGCTTGTAAAAAGAATTTACCCAACATGAATTACTTCTCAGACCAGCTCAGTAGAGAATACACATTATCATCCACAGGTAATAAATCATTTCTGTGTCCCACTAATATCATGCTTCTATTTGTTCTCTTCCCTTCTCCTGCCCTGTTCCATACTGTCTTCAGTATCCATAACTATTTTCACGCCCTCCAATATTTCTATCTCTATCATAAAGTGCAGATGTTGGTATATATTAGGTGGACACATACAATTACTGTGTTTTTTGCTGTGCATAACTTCTTAATCTGATATTGTCCCACTTGTCTACTTTAGGGATTATTGCCCGTGCTGTGGAAGTCTTATATAAGAAGTCTTTGCCTACCCCAATGTCTCTCAGAGTTTCCCCGGTGTTTTCCACTAGTAGTTTTATAGTTTGAGGTCTTAGATTCAGATCTTTGATCCATTTTGAGTTGATTTTTGTTAGTGGTGAAAGACTGGGATTCAGTTTCACCTTTCTGCAAGTGGATACCCAATTTTTCCAGCACCATTTATTAGAAAGGTTTTCCTTTTCCCAATGGATTAACTTGTATTCTTTGTCAAAAATCAGTTGACTGTAAGCTTTGGGGTTTCTACTCTATTCCATTGATCCACCTGTCTTTGTGGCAAAACCATGCTGTTTTGATGATCACAGTGTTATAGAATATTTTTGGTCAGGGAGTGCTAAGCCTCCCACTCCACTCTTCTTGCACAAGATTGCTTTGGCAATACAAGATCTTTTATGATTCCAGACAAATTATATGATTGTCTTTTCTAGATTTGTGAAGAATGTCTCTGGCATTTTGATGTAGAATAATTTGGGTAGAATAGCCATTTTGATTATGTTAATTCTTCAAATCCAGGAACATGAGATGTCTTTCCACTTTTTTATGTCATTTTCAATATCTTTTTAAAGATGTTCATAGTTTACTTTGTAAAGTTCTTTGACTTCCTTAGTTAGGTTTATCCCTAGGTATCTTACACATTTTGTGGCTATGGTGAAAGGAATTCCTTTCTTCAGCTCTACTTCATTCAACTTGTTGTTCATATATAGAAATGCTATAGATTTTTGGATGTTGATTTTGTATCCTGCCACTTCACTGTATTCATTTATTACTTTGAGAAGTTTTTTCTTTGAAAACTTTGGATCTTTCAACTATTCTTTGCCTTTTTGGATGTCTTTTATATTTATTCTCTTTTTTGATTGCATTGGCTAAGATTTCCAGCACTACATTAAAAAGCAGTGGAGAAAGTGGGCAGCCTTGTCTAGTACCAGTTTTTAGTGGAAAAACTTTTAGCTTTTTCCCAGTCAGTATAATGTTAGCTAAAGGTTTTTCATATATGACTTTTATTGTGTTGAGAAATGACCTTCTATACCAATCTTATTGAGAGTATTAATCATAAAAGGATGATATATTTTATCAAATGCTTTCTCTGCATCAATTGAAATGACCATATGTTTTTTAACTTTCTTTCTGTTAATATGGTGTATTCTATTTATGGTCTCGCATATTTTGAACCACCCTTGAATCCCTGGGATAAAGCCTACCTGGTCGAGATGAATAATCTTTGTTATATGTTATTGGATATGATTTGCAAGTATCTTGTTGAGAATTTTTGCATCTATAATCATCAGAGATATTGGTCTGTAGTTTTCCTTTTTTTGCCAAGACTTTATCTGTTTTGGGAATGAGGATGATGGAGGCTTCATAAAATTAATTTGGAAGGTTTCCTTCCTTTTGGATTTTAGAAATAATTTGAGTAGGATAGGGATTAACTCTTTCTTAAAAGCTTTGTAGAATTCAGAATCTGGGCTTTTCTTTGTTGGGAGGATCTGGGCTTTTCTTTGTTGGGAGGTTATTTATTACTGATTCAATCTCATGGCTTCTCATGGGTCTACTCAGGTTTTAAATGACCTCCTGATTCAATCTTGCTGGATTTTATGCATCCAGGTATTTGTCGGTCTCCTCCATGTTCTTTTGTTTGTTGTCATATAGTGACTCATAGTATCCTCTAATGATGTTTTGTATTTCTATTTTATCTGTTGTAATGTTGCCTGTTTCATTATGTACTTGATTTATCTGGTTTCTTTCTTTCTTCTTCTTCATCAGTCCAGCTAATGTTGTGTTGATCTTGTTAATCTTTTCAAAGAACCAGCTTTCACTTTCATTTATTTTCTGTATAGTTTATTTATTTTCTATTTCACTTATTTCTGTTCGAATCTTTATGAATTCTTTTCTCCTAGAATTTTCTGGGTTTTTTTGTTGTTATTTTTCCAATTCCCTGAGGCATAATAGTAGATTGTCTATTTGCCAACTTTCCATTTTTTTTCTTATGTGCACTAATTGCTATGAATTTCTTTCTTATGACTGCTTTTGCCATATCCCATAGATTATGGAAACTCCTGGACTCATTATCATTTGTTTCCATAAAGTTTTTTATTTCAAACTAAATTTTTTCAGTCGTTAAGAAGTCATTCAGAAGTAGATTGCTTAGTTTCCATGTGTTTGTGTATTTCTGAGAGTGTTTCTTGAGTTTAATATTGAATTTAATTACATCACAGTCAGAGAAGGTGCTGGATGTAGTTTCTATGCCTTTGAATCTGTAAAGGCTTGATTTGTGTCCTATCATATGATCAATCTTTGAAAAGATTCCATGCTGGGGTGAGAAAAATGTATATTTGGTGGTTTTAGGGTGGAAAGTTTTATAGATGTCTGTCAAACTCATTTGATTTATCATATAATTTAAGCCTGTATCTCTCTAGTTATTTTTGTCTAGAAGGTGTGTCAAAGGATAAAATGGGGTGTTAAGATCCCCAACAATTATAGTGTTGTACCACATCACTCCTTTTAGCTCCAGTAGTCTTTCGTTCACGTATTTAGGTGCTCCTAAGTAGGGTGCATGGATATTTATAAGTTATATCTTGATGAATTAGCCCACATACTATTATATAATGCCCTTCTTTCTCTCTTCTTACAGTTTGTGTCTTCTAGCCTATTTTGTCTGAAATCAGTATCACAACTTCAGCCTTTTTTTATTTTTATTGCATGAAATATCTTCTTCCAGCCCTTCACTTTTAGTCTATGTAGGTCTTTTTTTTTCTTTTTTTTTTTTCCCTTCCTTTTCTGGAGAGGTTTTTGAGAGTTTTGTTTGTTTGTTTTGCTACAGGGCCAGACAGAGAGAGACAGAGAGCAAGAAATCACCCCCCAGTGGGGATGGCCACGTCGCAATCCCTTCTTCTCCATACTCCTCTTGGGATCTTGGGCACACAGGCACATGCGCCCAGCATGAGTTTTAAACCACCGGGTACCGGACGTGAACTGCAGTCAACTACGTGGGAGTCCAGCGACATAGCCATTACGCTAACTGCTGGTCCCGAGGTATTTTTGCTATAGGATGAGTGCGCTCACCAGAAAGACAGAGAGAGACAGAGAGACATAAAGTGAGAAATCACCCCCCAGGAGGGATGGCCACGCTGCAATCCCTTCTCCTCCATTCTCCTCTCAGGATCTTGGGCACGCACGCACATGCGCCTGGCATGAGTTTAAGCTGCTGGGTCCGGAATGAGAACCATGGTCGACTACATGGGAGTCCAGTGACATAGCCATTATGCTAACTGCTGGTCCAAGTCTACGTAGGTCTTTATCCATAAGGTACATTTCTTGTAGGCAACAGATAGAAAAATATGGAATGTTCATGAATTTGCACATCATCCTCCTGCAGGGGCCATGCTAATCTTCTCTGAATCATTCCAATTTTAGTATATGTGCTGCTGAAGCGAGCACAGCAAAGTGTTCTTTTGATGACAAATAAATTAACAAATACATACTATTGTGAACTATTTCAGATATTACAAAAAAGGGGTTTTGATTTGTTTTTCTCTTATAAACAAAAATTTATTATTCATATTTTTTCTTTCCTTTTATTTTTTTGTCTCACACCCACCATCTATCATCCACTCTCTATCAATTACTTTCCCCCTTTACTGTCAGTAACATCCACACTGATCCTCTCCACCATCACATCTTCAGATCTGTCAACCTCTGCCATGAAGTGCAGACACTCACCACAAATTAAGTGGGGATATACGATGTGTATCTTTTAAAGTCTGGCTCACTTTGCTCAACATTAAATCTTCTATATTCATCTATTTTTGAATTGAACCATAGGATGGATCTCATTGTTTCATACAGTTGTGTGTAATATTTCATAGTATATAGCATATGTGTTCTTCAACCAAGTCATCAGTTTTTGTACACTTACATTGGTTCCATATTTTATCAATTATAAACAATGCTGCAATAAATATTGTTGTGCAGATACCATTCTGATGGAATGTTTTCTTATCCTTTGAGTAGATACAAAGTAGGATTGCTGGATCATAAGGAAGTATTATTTGTAAGTTTTTGAGAAATCTCTATTGTTTTCCAGAGAGGCTGGATTAATTTACAGTCCTAATAGCAGTCTAAATAAATCCCTTTTTCATCACAGCCTTGCCAACACTTAAGTTTCTTTGTTTTTTTGATCCTAGCCATTCTGAGATTAACAGATATCTCACTATAGTTTTAATTTACATTTCCATTATTATGAGAGACTTTGAACATTTTTTATATAGCTCTTGGCCATTGGTAAATATTCCTTGGAGAGTTATCTAATCAGTTTATTTGCCCATTTATAAATTGGATTATTTCTTTTTTTGATGGATGAACTGCTTGAATTTTCTATATATTCTAGCTATTGATCCCTTATCTGATGGAAAATTTGTAAATATTTGCTCCCATTCTGAGGTTTTCCTTTTCACCTTAATTATAATTCCTTTTGCTGTAGAAAGCTCCTTAGCTTGATGTAATCACACTTGTATATTTTAAGGAATATTCTCTGTGCTTTAAGGGTCTTATTTAACTCCAATGTATTCCAAAGTTTTCTCTATTTTTTTACCAGTAGTTTTCTGGTTAGAGGTTTCGTATTTAAGTTTTTAATTCCTTTTGAGTTAATTCTAGTTAATAGTGAGGTCCAGCTCCATTTTTCTGCAGATGGATATCCAATTCTTTCAACATCGTTTGCCAAGGAGACTTTTTTTTCTCCACTGCATTGTCTTATACCCTTTATCAAAGATAAGTTGACTGTATGATTTAGAGTTTGTTTCTAGATTTTTCTCTCTGTTCCATTGGTCTATGTATCAATTTTTGTGCCAGTACCATACTGTTTTAATTATCATTGATTTTTGGTATATTTTAAAGTGGGTAGTAAGATTCCTCCTAGTTTATTATTTTGATACAGTATTGCCATGGCAATATGAGATCTTTTTTGGTTCCAGACAAAAATTATAATTACTTTTTCTATTTCTGTGAGGAATGTCTCAGGTAACTGGATTGGGATTGTATTAAATATGTAAATTAATTTGGGTAAGTCTGACATCTTGACTATATCAGTTCTTCCAATCCAAGAGCACAGAATGTCTTTCCATTTTTTTATATCATATTCAATTTATTTTTTCAGTTTTTCATAGTTATCCTATAAAGGATTTTCACTTCTCTAGTTATAGTTATTCCTAGGTTTATTATTTGTTTTGTAGTTATTGTAAATGAGACCACTTTCTTTAATTCTGATTCAATCTGTAGATTATTGCTGTATAAAAGGAGCTATAGATTTTTGTAGATTGACTTTGTATACTGCAACAGTACTGAATTAATCTATTACTTCTAGACTTTTTAAATGGATTCTTTAAAATTTTATAGGTGTATAATTATATCTGCTAACAGGAACAGTTTAATGTATTCTTTTTCTATCTGAATGTCCTTTATTTTACTCTCTTCTCTGATTGCATTGGCTAGCACTTCCAGCACTCTGTTAAAGAGGAATGGAGTGAGAAACCTTGTCTTTTACCAGATTTTTATGGGAAAGCTTTTAGCTTTTCCCCATTAAGCATGATGCTCACAATCAGTCTGTTATGAATGTCTTTTATTATGTTGAAAAATATCCCCTATGTCCCAATTTTGCAGAGAGTTTTGATCATGAAATGGTGTTGTATATTATCAAATGCTTTTTATCTATAGATATGATCATATATTTTTTTCTTTCTATTAATGTGGTTTATTACATTTATTGTTTTACATTTGTTGAACCATTCTTGTATCCCTAGAATAAATCCGACCTAATCATGATGTAAAATCTTCTTGATATGTTATTGAATTCAGTTTGTTAATATCTTATTGAAAATTTTTATATCGGTATTCATCAGGGATGTTGGTCTACAGTTTTCTTTTGTTGTTATATCCTTTTCTGGTTTTACTTTCAAAGTAATAGAGGCTTCATAAAATGAGATTGGGTGGATTCCTTCCTTTTAAATTTTTAGGGATAGTTTAAGAGGAGTTGGAGTTAGCTCTTCTTTGAAAGCCTTGAAGAATTTAAAAGGGAAGCCATGTGGAACTGGACTTTTCCTTCTTGGGAGGCAATCTATTACAGCTTCAATCTTTTCACCTGATATTGGTCTATTTGGGCTTTCTATTTCATCCTGATTCAACCTAGGTAACACATACTTATCCAGAAATTTGTCCATCTTTTCTAGATTTTCTAGTTTGTTGGTATATAGCTGCTCATAGTATTCTCCTATTTTTTTTGTATTTCAAATACATATTAGTTGTAATATTGCCAGCTTCATTGCTGATTTTATTTATCTGGTTCCTATCTCTATTTTTCTCAATTAGTGTAGCTAATGATGGCTTATCAACTTTGTTTATCCTCTCAAAAAAATCAGCTTCATGTTTTATTTATTTTTTTATAGTTCTTTTAATAGTAAATATTTAAAATTTTATGGTACATGTGATTTTTATTCAATTGTTCAGCTCTGTCTTTGTAGCTTACAAGCTGCCATAAACAAATCCTAAACTATGAATGTGACCGTTGAAGTAAAATTATTCTTGAACATTGAATTTGAATTGCATAGAATGTTACATGTAACAATTTTGTTAAAAAAATTACTTAGAAACAAAGAAACATTTTTAGCTTATGGATTATATCAAAACAAACAGTAGTATACTGTTTGGGCCCATGGACCATAATTTGCCAACTTCTGTTTTGTGTCATAATAATATTATTCATAATAGCTAATATTTGTTAGTTCTGTATTATGTCTCAGGTGTTAAGCACTATAGGTAAAAGAGTTCAATATTTACATCTCTTATCAGATAAATGATAGTAATATTATTCCTACTTGCTCAAGATCACACAGTTATGGAAGATGAAAGAATCAGGATGGAAACCCAGGTCTTTCATATTCTGAAATCTAAACTTAAAATGTTTTTATGAATGAAAACTTATTTATAGAAATCAAAACTATGAATGGGTATAAACTAATGTTGCACCCAGTGTATAGAAAAGGAGTTTGGGGAAAAGTAAAATCATGTTAGTGAGAGCAGGACTTGAAAGAACTAAATCTAAATTGGTCCTTCAGAGGATTAAGAGGTTTTATTTATTTATTTATTTTTTGAGGTTTTGGCTATAGGGTATGTGCGCTCACCAGACAGAGAGAGACAGAGAGACAGAGAGCGAGAAATCACTCCCCAGGGGGATGGTCACGCCGCAATCCCTTCTCCTCCATTCTCCTCTCGGGATCTTGGGCACGCACACACGCACCCAGTGAGAGTTTTAAAGCCACTGGGTCTGGGACATGGACCATAGTCGACTACATGGGAGTTCAGCGACATAGCCATTATGCTAACTGCTGGTCCCAAGAGGGTTTTTTATGTAAACATTAGGTAAGACATAGATGGTAGGGTGGTAGAATAGCATAAACAAAGTGAGAAATAAAGTTTTGCTTTCATACAAAGTTTGATTATTATATATATATGATCTCACTTGTATTCATATTATATCTGGAGCTTTACAATGCAAACTTACTATTTTTTTTTTTTGAAGAGATTTTCGCTATAGGGCGCGTGAGCTCACCAGACAGAGAGAGACATAGAGACAGAAAGCGAGAAATCACCCCCCAGGGGGGATGGTCACACTGCAATCCCTTCTCCTCCATTCTCCTCTCAGGATCTTGGGCACGCATGCACACGCGCCCGGCGTGAGTTTTAAGCCACTGGGTCCGAGACGCGAACCGTGGTCGCGTGGGAATCCAGCGACATAGCCATTATTCTAACTGCTGGTTCCCGCAAACTTACTATTTTAAAATACTTTAAATGCATCAATGTTGATTAGTTTTGATAAGCACACCATAGTAATATAAGTCATTAACATTAAGGGAATTGTATGAGGGGTACATGAGAACTCTATTACCTTTTCAACTTTTCTCAGAATCTGAAATTATTACACAATAAAAAGTTTGTTACAAAAAAAACCCAAAAAATACCCCGATATTCAGTTATTTTTTTCAAAGGCAAGTTTGAGAAGCCTACCAGTTCAAACTGTCTCCCAACTCAATTTATTCAGCTTTCTCTGTACATGTCCTGGGGTTAATCTGAGCACCTGAGTTTCTCACAGGTAGCCTTGATTCATTTCCAGAGAGAAAAACCTCAAGAGTGGTTTAAAAATGAACATCCAAGATGCAATAGTCCATCTGCTCCTGCTGTCACTCCAAAACTTTTGACATCCGATCCATGGCATGGCTGCTTTTTGATGTTGAATCGATGATATAAACAACAATTTTGAGTGACAGCTTAATCAAGTTAAGACTCCAACAACTGTACTTCAGAGGCACAGAAACATCTGTGGGAGATCTACTGAGAATCAAAGGATGAACCTGAAAGAACTTAATATTATAAAAGAGGTTTCCTAGAGC